TAGATCATAATATAGATCAATGACATTAAAGTGGAAGAATGTTGTATCTGTATAATCTCAGTGAAAGAATTTGAAGCAGATCCAACGTTACTCCTGGTAACCTGGTTCAAGGAAATAACAGTCTAATAATTAACAAGTAAACTAAATCTAAAAAGATGAACAATTGAGAAGAATGAATAGTATCGAATAACTCATTTAAAACAGAAAGAAGTCACCCAGACTAATGGCTACATTATAACTTGATTGATAAAATTCGATTAACACTAATAAGGACCTGATACATATAGCATTGGTCACTATCCTAGTGATCAATTAATTGTGAAGAAAAAGTAATTCGATTAGCATTTTGGTGATATTTCATGGACTAGTGATTAAATGAGAAATAAAACTGTTGGAGAGATCCAGGAAACTCCTCGATAAAAAAACTGTGAAAACACTGAGAAGCATTTTATCTAACCAGCATTCACGAGAAGTTTTGCCGGAAACATCTAGAAATTGAAGTCACATGTCGATCTTCTGATTATCTATACTGCAACCATGTTTAGTTTTGTTCCAGAATTCTCCGAAAACCCAAGGCCATCTAAAATACTATAAAAACCCTAGATTTTGAGTACATAAATGAACCTTTAGAGTAAAGTGTTTCTCCCATATTTTGCACCTTTTCTCTCGTGTTTAAGTCGCTGTGTAGATTTAGCCTGGGGGTTACTAGAAGGGTTTAGGAACCTAATCAAGAGTTCAATTAGAAGACTTATCTTAAACAATCTATTGAAATGCACAACTTCACTAAACATAGTATTGTTTATTTATGAAGACAACTAATTATAAACAAAATCAGCAGAACAAAGTGGCTAGACACTTTTGAGAAAGAGTTTGAAAATACTCACTTTTATTTAAAGTTCAAATTGACAATACCGTATCAACTAATAAAGATTGTTTCTTGATCAAACCATACACAACTCAATAACAACAAAACATAACATCATCAATGAAATCTACTTGAGTTATCAAGGTTTCCCTGAAATAAAATAGGATATGAGAGTGGATATAATTGATTATAAAAACACAGAGATAGGACTATTTGAACACAATATAAACACATAAATAATTATGTTGGGGATACCCATAAAATTCTTCGAAAAAACCCAAAAAGGCCCTGAAAACGCTGGGAAACATTCTATCTAATCAGCATTCAAAAGAAGTTTCTCAGAGACAACTACAAAGTAAAAAGTCACACTTCAGACTGATTGATTACCTATCCTGTTACTATTTTAGTAGGGTTCCAAAAAATTCCCGAAACCCAAGACCGTCTGAAATGCTATAAATACCTTAAATTTTCTGTACAGAAACGAACCTAGAAGTAAAGCATTCTTTTCATGTTTTGCCCCCTTTTTTTCTCGTGTTCACGTTGTTGTGCAGACTTAACCTAGGGTTATTAAGAGAGCTTAGGAAACCGATTCAAGCAGCCAGTCAGGATATTTATCAAATTATGAAATGCATACCTATAGAGTAAATATAATAATAGAGATCAGATGTAAAAAAAATTTTAGTTGGAAAGAAGAATTTTATGAAGGCGATTGAAAATACAGTCATAAATAATATAATATAAACTTATATAAATTAATTTAACTCTAAATCATTATTGGTATTTTGGCGTATTTCAGCTGAAGAAACGAAATATTTTTAAGCATATAACATCAGAAAGGGTTTTTTGTGGATATTATATAGTAATTTTAATAGTTGAGCGTCAATTGAAGCTGAACCACTGTCCTACCGAACGGAACAGTGAGGAATCGGAAAGATAGGGACACTCGTCGTTGCCTCTTCGTCATCTCTGCCTACTCTCCCATCAACTGCAGCTCAGATGATGTAAAAGATGAGTTTTACAGAAATCTTTCCCAGCTTCTCCGAAGAGCTAGGCGTTCTGATGTAGTAATAGTGGCTGGTGACTTTAATGCTCAACTAGGTAAACCAAGCGAAAGGGAAAGACATCATTGGGTGTAGCTATTGTGCTAAAATATAAATTACAGGATGAAAACTCACGGGTGGATCCACAGTTTTGTTATGGAATGAAGTGCATTTAGAATGATAGAGGAAGCTCAGAATAAGGCGAAAGCCATTGCTGTTAACTTCGTTACATTATCAACACATTAGTCCATTCCAGATATAGGACTAGTTTCAGATGTTAAGTCACTCAATCCGCTGATTACAGTGAAATTCGATGGGGTTGATATACTGAAGGTAATAAGCTCTTCAGGCTTAAATGCATGGTGTCGGACAGTGAATTTTCATTTGAAATCCTCTAGTACGCCGAACACACCCTTTTATCGATTGCGATGGTGCAATGTACCGTTCTCAAACGGTAGTTTCTGGTTGGCCCGTCTCACTATTGGTTATTTGTCAGACAGTACAGAACATGATTTGAGTAACGGATTGTCATACACATCTGAGACTAGTCACTTGATAACGGAAAACCAGCAAGTGATGTCTGCGTTGGCTTCAGAAGGAATTTTGAGGTTTCATGTACTGAACTACTGTTTATTCTGTTAATCTCTAGACAACCGTTCAGAAATGTACTGATGTGTCGTCCAGAGAAAACTAATATAAATCTAAAATGCTTCACTAATAAACTAGGACTTAACGAATTACTGTAAGCCACCATCTTGTATCATCAACCGTAAATACTACACGTGAATGAAATCCTGGTATATTAGGTTTCCGACGCTAAATTAGGCCCGTCACATTGAAAACTGAAGGGAAGTGGCTGGAGATACCGATGAACAAAAAATTCAGACCGTCCTAGATGTTCTACCAAGCTAGTGTAAGTCATGTTTTGTGACTATCAGTGAGGAAAAATTTGGCCACATCTGCGCTAGACAAGAAATAAAAAACTTGAGAAACATCGGTGCTGTTGTAAAGCCAGTGAAATGTCACTGAACTCTAGTTAAATCATCGGCAGTCGGGTGACCGAATGTTGACCCCCGTCAAAGTCTGGGACAACCAACGCGCATCAGGTAATTAAACACCATGGACTGGTCTATGTGGTGTTGGCCGCAAATTCTCCCCTGTACATACGTTTACTAATCCATTTCTGTAATAACGTACTTTGTGTTATACGGTCTTCAAAGCAGCTATAGTTCGATTGTACGATGGAGAGGTAATCCATGTTGGTGCCGAAGTCAGCTGGTTCGTCACACCATCCACATCTAACTCCAGTAGGCTTCCAATCATTAGACATATATAATCTGTGTTGGTGATCTACACTGTTAGTTCTGAGTCAAAACGACCCAGGATTAAATGTATGTCATAGTCCTTGGGTCATTTGTTTCTATCTGTGTTAACATGCTGTGTTAGGACTTTTACGAGAGATATCTTGGAGGAGTTAAAGACGGCAGTTACCCATATAATGGCGGAATTATGGAGCTTAAAAGTACATAATGGGGTTTGAAAAGTTAGACCTCCTCTCTTATTTACAGAGAATTAAGAGTCCATTTTGCTTTCAAGTACCAGATACTATAATATGGTTTGGATCTGACACATTCTCGCTTTTTCCTTCAAGCAGAAATAAATACCCAGCGGGCATAGCAGTGTAGCTCAAAAACTCAGGGTGAACAAATCACCATGGTAGATTTTCCCACTGATTACTCAACACTTGGAATCTGCCACTAAAAAATATGGCGTCTATACCCTCAGTTGTCTTATTCAAGAGAAGAACAGACACTCATAGAGCTTTCTAGAAGACATCTAGCACAGGCCCTAGGTTCTTTGACTTCAGTGGATAAATCTGAATCTGGAATGTGGACGAGTCTTTTAATGTAATTTAGTGGCCCAGTTGGTTTCTGCAATTAGTTTGCTTTAGTACTGACTCACTTTGCCATAGTGATATTTTTTTGTTAGATCTTAGGCCTGGTATTAAAACTGGAAGGGTAAAGCCAGGGATTGTGTGAAAAATAAAATCTCATTCCGTAAGTAGGACCGCCTGAAAATTTCTGAATTTTTCGTGGCTTTAAATACAAAGGTGAAACCGGAGCGTTTCCTTTTATTTTTCCTTTTGATTAACAGAAAGCTGTAAATTATTTACGACACTGCTCACTATGTTAACTGTAGATGTATGCTTAATGGATAAATATCTGAGAAAAGACGCACAAAAACGCCTAAGTAAAGACCATCCCGAAAATCGATATCATACAGTCGGTGTGTACTTGAGTAGAAGAAATTCAGAAAAGCACTGGACATACGCAGACAGTCTTCATTAGGAAGGATAGTAGGTCAGTTGAACTGTGTAAATCCATGCAAAATGTTTTCCAATGAACGATAAGATGTAAGGGTGATAGCTTAGAACTCCAAAATGACCTGAAGAAATTATCATACGTGGCAGCTGCCGATAAATACTTCCAAGTGTGTTGTGATGCATATCGGTCATCAAGGTTCAGAAACATACACGATGAATAACACTGAGCTACCTGTTGTCCGGACACATAATGACTTAGGAGTCATCGTTAGCCAAGATCTGAAGACTACTGCACACTGCCGAGCAATAGCCGCCAAAGCTTTTAGAACTTTGTGGTCAATACGTAGGGCTTTTACTCATGTCGACGCTCAAACGCTTTTGACTTTGTATACAGTGTTCGTACGTCCTATACTTGAGTACTGCATACAAGCGGCTAGCCCCTGCCTAAAAAAGACAGTGAGCTTTTGGAAAAGGTCCAGAGAACAGCAACTAAGCTGATTCCCGTAATAGCGAAGCTTCCGTATGATGCTCGACTGGCCAAGTGGAATCATCAACGAGTGGAATTCATTACCTAAGCACGTGGTTGAAGCTCCATCCGTAGATTCTTTCAAAAGAAAGTTGGATCAACTGAGAGAACACAATTGCCAGGACTAACACAGGCCATCAAGCCTCCTGTCATTTCCAAACTGAAACTGAATGAAGGTCCAAAATGTAGATACTTTGAGGAAACCATAACCGTAGAAACGTGCTAATAAATCAACGCTTCAAAAATTTCAACTTGAACCGTACGCTCATCATGCACATTCAAACAAGCTTCGAAAACACAGTTGAAACTAAGTCAGCGGACATAAAACTTACAGCGCCTAATACAACCTTGACCTTAGTGACACAGGAATCATGGTTACTCTGGAGGTATTTATTCCTGCCTAACTTTATTTGTTTTTAGGAATTTAACAGTCACGCTGAAAAAGTTAAAAAGCTTAAAACAAAACCTAATGATAATGATCTGCTTGAACTTTACAGCTTGTACAAACAAGCTACAGTTGGTGACAACAATACGTGTAAGTTTTTTAGTTTAAAGTTTATTCACTAGGTGCACCTGGTATCCTCGATCTAAAAGGAAAGGCGAAATGGAACGCTTGGAATGGAAAAAAGGGTAAGCAGTCGTCCAAAGTCATATATACATATAGTACAGACATACTTGTACTTAAAGACCATCTGCACGAGCCCATAGGCTAGTTTGTCCAGTTGATTGATGAAAGTTTACCACAACACTATAACAACTATGCATTCTGCAGATTAGAGCTGGGAATTTTTTGCTTAGGATAAGTGGAGAAATTCAAATTAATCACTCATTAGTCTTATATGATTGGGAAACGTGCGCTTTTGCTTAATTTGCCATACATTGTACTGTATGTCCCCATGATTGCGGTTCCTTACCAATGGTTTATACTTAAGATTGTAAACTCGGCTTTAGTATTGTGTATTTTGACTAAAGCATACAGCACAATGACAGTCGTAGGAATAAACATCAAATTTGACCTGACTACTAAGAAAGAATTTGTTTACTGATGCCTAATTTGTCTTTTTTCTATAAGCTACTTCTGTGCGCTACAAAGTGAACTTGTAGACAGTATGCAAAACCGTAGGATTAAATATTAGTAGACATGGTTAGATATGCCCATCATTACCGTCCAGAAATACATTAGTAGTGTAACGTTTGGTGTACTTGGTTCCCGGTTCTTCATCTGTAAACCTATGACCCTAAAGTACATTCTAATTTGATGTGCAGAAAAATAAAAACATTGTTAATTAAATTAAAAGGAAGTACGAGATAAAGGTGGCTGTGTACGTTGGACCAGTGTAGTTGAACTACGTAAAATATTTGGTTCAACCTGAGTTCTACTCCTTATGGATGTAAAAGTCAAATTTCACTTTATGTAGTAACGTTCCAAGGTATTTCTCATACACCATAAAAACATTGTTAAGCTCTTGAATAAGCTTAGAATGAAAGAAAAGACATTAAATTAACGATTAATATGTGCGTCTATATACGCATTCGTATTACCGATTTTTAAAACATGACTGCTGAGTGTTAGCCAATGTCCGGCGCTTTAACCGGATTCCAAACCAATGGCGCACATCGGCTCCAGTATCCTGAGGAAAATTATGACGTATAAACCAATCGTTTGTCACCGGCTACCATGGGACTGCATCTCCCCACGATGCTCTTCTACCTTGTGGATCAGACCTTAAAGTCAAAGCCTCGGGGTGTGGCCCCCTAAGAAAACCACCTGCTTCGGTTTGGGCACCCGGGCAGTATCACAGCTCACACACAAATATAATGAAAATGATGATATTCACTGAAAACTCTATTCACGCCGCGATTTACAGTCAAACAATTCACATTATTATTATTATTTACTACGTCATTTATTCACTCTCTTTTATTCCCACCTTATGTATCCTTATTTTTCGACCTATACAGCAGCTCGCCTATGGTGGAAAATCGGTTCTATTTAAACGTTTTCGTGTCACTGCCTGGTTGAAAATTGTATGTTACCACCGAATACGAGTACTGAAGCAGTTTTTCTGAAACCACGTGCACCATTCAAACTGGCTGCCTTCAACGTTCGCACACTTATGCAGGTCGGACAACAGATAGGGCTGGCCATGTCTTTGGAAAGTCTTAATATTGATGTGTGTTGTCTATCCGAGACCCATATTCAAGACTCTGGTGAAGTACTACAAGTTCTCTCTCCATCTGTCACTTCAAAAAGCTTGTTTTATGTGCGTTTATCCGGGGACCCTGTGGCATCTTCGTCTGGTCTCGCTGGCGTTGGTGTCGCACTAAGGGCTAGAGCTGAGGCAGCACTAGTCGACTGGATCCCCAGTAACAGTCGGTTATGTGCTGTTAGATTAGAAAGTTCCATCAAAGCGAGAAGAAATAGGCGTGAGAAACGATGTCTTTTCGTCATCTCCGCCTATGCCCCGACAGATTGCAGCCCGGATGCAATCAAGGATGAATTTTATCAGCAGTTAACTGTTCTTCTCCAGAAAGTGCGTTCGACAAATATTGTAGTACTAGCCGGAGATTTATGTGCCTAGACGCCCGACCTGAGCATTCAGGTCTCCAGCTAGTACTACTGTATCTGTCGAGCGCACTTTCTGGAGAAGAACAGTTAACTGCTGATAAAATTCATCCTTGATTGCATCCGGGCTGCAATCTGTCGGGGCATAGGCGGAGATGACGAAAAGACATCGTTTCTCACGCCTATTTCTTCTCGCTTTGATGGAACTTTCTAATCTAACAGCACATAACCGACTGTTACTGGGGATCCAGTCGACTAGTGCTGCCTCAGCTCTAGCCCTTAGTGCGACACCAACGCCAGCGAGACCAGACGAAGATGCCACAGGGTCCCCGGATAAACGCACATAAAACAAGCTTTTTGAAGTGACAGATGGAGAGAGAACTTGTAGTACTTCACCAGAGTCTTGAATATGGGTCTCGGATAGACAACACACATCAATATTAAGACTTTCCAAAGACATGGCCAGCCCTATCTGTTGTCCGACCTGCATAAGTGTGCGAACGTTGAAGGCAGCCAGTTTGAATGGTGCACGTGGTTTCAGAAAAACTGCTTCAGTACTCGTATTCGGTGGTAACATACAATTTTCAACCAGGCAGTGACACGAAAACGTTTAAATAGAACCGATTTTCCACCATAGGCGAGCTGCTGTATAGGTCGAAAAATAAGGATACATAAGGTGGGAATAAAAGAGAGTGAATAAATGACGTAGTAAATAATAATAATAATGTGAATTGTTTGACTGTAAATCGCGGCGTGAATAGAGTTTTCAGTGAATATCATCATTTTCATTATATTTGTGTGTGAGCTGTGATACTGCCCGGGTGCCCAAACCGAAGCAGGTGGTTTTCTTAGGGGGCCACACCCCGAGGCTTTGACTTTAAGGTCTGATCCACAAGGTAGAGGAGCATCGTGGGGAGATGCAGTCCCATGGTAGCCGGTGACAAACGATTGGTTTATACGTCATAGTTTTCCTCAGGATACTGGAACCGATGTGCGCCATTGGTTTGTGTTATATTTTCGCTCTTACGGTTATAACCCAGCTATTCCTATCGCTTAGTATTCACGGTCACAGATTCACTCGACAAGGCCCCAAATCAGAACACGATTGAGCAGGAGATTATATTCCAAATAACAAGGTTAGGTGAAGCAAGAAGCAAAATAGGAAAACCGTTAGTATATTTATAGCTTTTTACATAAGAAGAATCTAGAAGCTTCTCCATGTATAGACTAGTGCTGATTGGATAAGAATCAGCCAATCAGCGTGCGCCAAAGCAATCGTGCATTGAGCATGCTTTAATCCAATCTATGTCCCACTAACAGTTTGGAATCCGGTTAAGGCGCCGGACATTCGCTTTTCGTCCTCTCATTTTCGTAAACAACACCGCCACGATGAGGCAGTGAGTAGGACTTCCTTGGCAGAGGCTGTATACGCGTGGCCGTGTGATAGCATTTAGGGAGGGTGAGCGGTCTCTCCCCACTTTAGGCCATACCTGGGCATTCGGGGGCACAAATAGAGAAACTTATATACCGTGTACTGAGTTCATAGTCTCCAGCTTATCATGAGTGCAGATATTCTGCTTTTGGTTGGTACAAAATATCGTCAATTTTGCCGAGTATTCTTTGAAGACAATTGAGAAACTCCCATAATATTGGTCACTCATCTGATAGGATGTGAATTTCACCAAGGGATGTTATAAACATATAGCTGAATTATCCTCCTAAAAACTTGCTATACTAGACGTATTTTGGCCTTGAATTACAGTTAATGTAGATAACAAAAAGAACGGACAATACGTTTAAAAAAACAATTTGTAGTATAAATGGTTATCTTCACTCACATTTCATCGTATAGTTATTTGCGAATTGTAGCAATTGTACTTACTGATGGTATAAGCCAGTAAAATACTTTACATTGATTTGTTTTATAACCAACCATCAGCTCGCGGCTTTACTTATCGATGTTCGAGAAATAGTTTATGTATTACTGTCCTGATAAATGGTCCCAAAAAGTCACCAGTCAGTCTTACGCAACGTAGAACCTGGCATATACACACACCAGTTCTGGTTGCTATAACGCTAGTAAAAGTCATGAAAGTGTTTTTTTTTTAATTCTTTTACTGTTTACTTCTAAATCACAGGTATTTGCAAAGAAGAAGCTAAAACGCTGTACGTGAATAAAGCTAAATGCCTTATTGAAAAACATGGATTGGAATCATAATTACTATTAATTTTGTTCAAGGAAACTAATTTATTTAGTTAATATTCATATATTTTTGATATGATTTACATATTGAGTTTGGTTTTGTAATTTTTATGCTTTCTTTCCTCATCTTTTTGATTTGTTACTTTACAAATGTTAATCGTAACGATAGGGGTCAGTAAATGTTTTTGTTTTCTACTGTATTTCTAAACGTGCTTTACGACATTAATGACTTCTATTGTCTTTCATACTCTTTTTGTAATACCGAAATATATATTAAAGGGAACATAGAGATAGTTTTTTGTTTAGAAACAGCCAATCTCAGCAATTTGGATGAATGAAGACGTTCAGTCAGTTACATGCAACGTAGAACTAAACATATGCATTGGTCACCATATCATATCATGACGAGATAAAATTGTTTCATGACTAATCTTCGAGTAATAAAAATATCAGTAGTAAAAAAGGCTTGGAATAAAGAAAGAAAATCAAAGGTATGTGGCTATTTCAACTCATGTTCTATAGAAAGACATGAATTAAATGGACGTGTGCTGTGGCGAATGATTCTGAGACATCACTCGAAACCTAACTACTGGTTATGACAATCACATGGAATCCAACTAGGTAGCCTACACCTATTTAAATGCAACAGTTCAGTTGCCGATGACTTCATGCCATGAAGTACTGCAAAGAAATGATTTAGTGTAGAGGCCTGATGAAGAACTATTTATTCTCTCAACCTGTCTTTTTAATATCTCAGTGGGAATATTTTATTACTTACATTGACTGGTTTTAAAAAATAACTAAAGTAATGGAAGTCCTCTGTGCATTTGTACTAAAAGTAGCATACACGAGTTGTACTTAATAATTGAGCTTACAGACAACTACATACCGTACCCATCATTTAAAATGCTGCTAGTTGAAATTCTACAAGAATCTAGTGTGAAATTCAATCATTCACCCGGTATTCAAAAGAATTATTCTTAAAACCAGTTCAAAAAGTCATTAAAGTAAGTAGAAACAACAAATTAATTTGATTGATGTTAGGAATTAAGTAAATATTTGTGAGTATATCTCGATCGTTTTAGTCAGAATGTTTTTGACCATCCGTCACGCTGTCATTAAATGATTGGAGCTGAAAATATCGATCATCGGATTGTTGTATGGATTTAAGGGGTACTGTGATCCCTAGGTCTGGGGTCCACTTCTATGTGGTTCCCCCAGATCGCGCTATAGAGTTCCAATTTAAATTTAACAATCATCCTACTGTTCAATGGTTCCTAATGCGTAACAAAAAGCGCGCTTTATTGCTAACTTGAAAAGGGCTAAATTAAAATTTGTCCCTTAGTGATTAGAATGGGGAACGTACCAGTTACTCTAAAAAACCTATCAGACACAAGGTTAAAAAGATTCAGTATAATAATATTAAGCTTTTGTGATGGTAAATTAATTAATTTATCGTACGAATCATAATAAAGTTGTTTCCCGAAATACTGAAAAGTAAACCTAATAAAACGCGAATCACATGGGTTAGAAGAGTCTACTAGATGACTGAGGAATTCTTAATAATAATAGTTCTTAACGAATGCGTATCAATCAAACAACAACTCATCGTCACAGTGTCTGACATTAATGCGTTTAAATTTACTGGGCAACATACATGGGGAATATACCTTCACCTTATTCCTGACACACCTGTCGTCGTATCTCGCAAAAAACTAAGTAGTCAGTAAATTTGTTGAAACTACTGCAACCTGTCTTTGTAAGATTCAACGCAGAAGTGTGTCTACATCATTATTATTATTGAACGCAAAAAGCGGGTTTAACGAATAATAACCATAGATGTAATATTTAAAACAGTTATCTAATTAAAGTGTCTCACTGTCATAAAAATGAAGAGAATTTATCGAAGAAAATCTTTTCGAGGAAATCATCTGTAGGAAAATAGATTGTAAAGTGATCCGAGATTTCAAATATCAAAATGAGGTTGCGTAATGATCATGGGATTGGAGAAGGATAGTAGGATGAAAATAATTTACCGTTCGGATATATGAGAGATAATTCCCTACTTGACAGATATGAAAGGAAATGAAAAACGTAAAGCTCACAAAAATTAGATAATCATGAAAAATATTTAAAGGAGAATAATAAGTGATTATGTCTTCAAAAAAAGCTCAAAAAATATTGGGTAGGGGAATAAGGACCAAGTAAGGGTGAGTGGTTAAACGTTTCTTTTGCGCACATATAGTCCGGTCTTGAATTGGTGGGTCGTCAACTCTTCAGCAGTGCATAGGTCTTTGTTTCAACCTTCGTTTGGCCTAATTACTTTCAAGGATGACTTCTGTGAAGTAACGTGTCCAGAGTTGATCAGTTGTTCCTGTATTGAGTTGATGATAACTTTGCATCCCACTTTTAAAAGCCACTCAAAGTATTGTTTGTAGACGCGTTTGGAAAGTGATCGCTTAATGCGGCCATTATAACCTCCCCCACAAGATCAAGGGAATTCACTAATCAATATTGATTATGTCCCAAGTGAACTTTTATCCCTGATTGGTAGGCCGGCTTGAGAGGACAATATATAGCTTAACTGAATGGTCTTTATTTTAAACATTTTAATAGGTTAAATGAAACGAGAAGACGAATTTTATCATCACTATATGACATTTTGACTCAGAAACCCGCTCATATTAGGCCTGTAATTAGTAATATTTATTTGGTGATAAATTTGGATCACATGTTCTTACAGTTGATTGATCACTGGGTGGTGAACAATGTCATGTGTCTCAGATCCTTCTGAGTGCCCATCAAATCCTATCGACCAAGTTGCGATGTGGTCACCAATCTAGTGACTATATGTTGAGGTAAGATGGTGGTTTGAGGTAGTCAACAGGAAGTCCTGGACATAGGTTTCGTGCTACTGGGCACTCGTTAGCAACTTGTATCTGTAATCTTGAGGGAACTGATACTTCCTAATTGACTTGATGCCGTGTCACCCAGCTTCACAGAGAGAGACGTCAACACTGGGTTATCCGAGCCGCAACTAACCTCTTATAGGACTGAGACTTATTTATAATTATTTGATCTCTAGGTGGTGGCCCTGACAGCCCAACGATAACGTTTCTGTCTGTGAAGCTGGGTGACACGGGATCGAATCAGTCATGAAGCATCAGTCCACTCAAGATTATAGGTACACGATGCTAACGAGTAACATGTAGCACGAAGCCTAGGTTCAGGATTTCCTGTTGACTACCTTCAACCACCATCTTGAATCACATATAAGAAGCAACGTTTAAAGTAAAATCAGACTTGTTGAAACATATTTCTTTTTGATATTCACAACTATTTCGTTTATTTCTCAATTAGATATATAATTAGATTTTATTTGTCTTCACCTTTATCGTTATTAATAATGTAGTGTTTTTCTAGGCTTTCTCTCTTATAATGTCTGGTCGCTCAAATGAATACCGGTCATACAATGTATCTTGTTTAGTATCTCAGTAATTATTATAAAGTAAATACCATAATGATACCTCATAATAAGTATATAAATTATGTAACGTATTGAAGTTCACTTAATTGTATGATTGTTATATTCACATTCCTTTCTAACTTATTCACATTTAAATTTGTAGTGTCTGTCATTATGTTAAGCCCAAATACCTTATTATTCTAACTTTTGGACAGCCCATCCTATTTGAGTCACATTCTGACCTTGTTAATGATTCCCTTATCAATATCTTGACTGTCTTTGTATAAGCGCGTAGGCGTATGTACACTTCTTATCCCGTTACTCATCACATGTCTGTAATTTATTTTTGTGTGCTTATAAATATTGATTAACTCTTTGTTAAAGGGGAGTTGGCTTACCAGCCATCTCCACCGCGCGCCAATTTAGCTTCACTTTCTCATCTTCGCATCGTTCCTCCGTTCGTTTGTCTAATCAACAATTATACAAAATATATGCATTCGAAACTCCATTCTCGTTATTTGACTTATTTAATTCCGTTATTAACTAACGCGATTTAAGTCAATGATTATATACGAGGATAGGTGATAGCAAACAATCATACAATCATTCATACGATCAAATCGGAGTCAGATCTCAGGCCACTAAAAATTATTTGGCAGTTAGTCATCAATACGTACGGTGTACGAGATGATTGTGACAGCGTAATAATTAGCCATTATACAATCAAATATATTTTAAAAGTAGAAATATGCAGTATCAGTACATGTTTATCTTTTTGTTTGTTTGATTGATGTTGTATGATGTGTAGTTTTTCATATTTTGGACAATTTGATCACATATGCAGTTGATATTTTTTCACGAACTATCAAAAGCGAACGAGCACTGGAAAGCTGTCTCAACTTAGTATGAAGCTTCTCAGAATTTGCGTATCCATGATCCTACCACGAGTAGAGTTTAAACTCTTCATAGTAAGCGTTTAACCTTTAAATTACTAAGTTGACACTCAATGTCTTATATTTCCAACTTCACTCGATTAAAAATATTATGTAACTATCTCTCAAAATCATTAATAGGTATTTGCCTCATACCTAACATGCTCCTGTTGTAACTTTATGTCCGGCTTTTATCATGTGATTTATTCACCAATCAAAATACGACTTATACAATCTTAGCACTGTGCCAAACCAATGACGTTCGACCGTTATGAGCAGCCTAGCGTCCTTATTAGTCCTATGTTCGCCTAGCCCGTCCACTTGAGTTCAGAACACCAATACTATGCGAATCGAATCGAATAATTTATTTGAGACACACTGGGTTTATATTATCAAACACAAACTGACCGCAACGCACCATAAAATAGGAAATAACATTTGTACACAACAAAGCCGAAAAGTGGCTGCGAACGTGGAAGGCAGTAGTCAATAAACTGAACATAGCTTAAGAACAGTAAATCGTACAATAATAAATTATAGGTCAAAATGAAACTTATAATAAGGGAAATATAGATATACATAATCTAGTTACTGAATATTGATACTATGAGAATATATAAATAATATTATTTCATTAATAGGTCTCAAACGTTACTCGTAATGTAATCTTCATTAGGGTATAACAGCTCCAATCATTGAATGATTCCCCAGTTTTTAATAGGTTACCAAATTTTGTCTGTAATTCAGTCAGTCAGCTGCAACGTAGGACCAGGCACATATATGCATAGGTTCAAGTTGCCACACCGCATCAACACAACAAGATGAACACCGGATTCATAGAAGTAGTTAATCCAGTGGTGGTAATATATAAAAGAATGATTGCATATAA